CACATGAAAACAAGAAAGACTTGAAAGTGAATAGCACACACCTATTTAATATATCGAAATGTAGCTCGAAAAAGGGCAGCCTGGTTAGGATGCAATAACATCTGCGAGTTGTCAGAATATGTCGGCATAACGATGAGGAAGCAGGCTCTCTATCCAAAACTGTGGAAACCAATCTGGAAGGTTTGTTTACTATTTCTTCAACTAGTATGCAGCATCCATACAAAGTCGAATTATCAGCAACCTGACAACAAACCACCATGTTAATGATTAGCCAAGAGAAGCAGTAATGTGTTAAACAAACAGGAGATATTGAACACTACATGAAAGAATTTTGTCACTTGCCTGTAACCTAAATACAAATGAAAGGTCACTAGCTCTGAGGCGTTCCTGAAAAAAGCAGCATCATGGAATTTGAAATTAGCACATGTGATACGATAAAACTTCGATTGCTTATGAATTCAAACAATGATGAACACCACAAGGAATTCTCACCACAGAATTAAACACAAAACAGAAAACTATGAACATCAATCTTTACCCATCTATGCTTGATATTGGGCAAGTACCTGACTAAGAATGATCTCATTCAATTCACTCATCGAGGGAGTTCTCTCAACAGCATAAACCTGAAATCGTTAGACAACAAATTTAAGAACACCGCCATGACATGAAGCAAGCTGAAAATGGGATAGCAGATGCAATATGAACTTCAACTATAAACACAGTGAATCACATGCACGATTACGCCTTCTGCCAAAATTTCTGATGTTTCAAGGGAAGGGTCGACCATCCCTTTGGAAAACTCGTTCATAACTATGATAGATCAGACGCAGTTGAAGTCATCCAACTGATACAAGGAAATCAACAGTGAGTTAACTCAAAGATCTAGTGTAAACAGAATGAGCGTAAACATGTATCAGTACTAAAGAATGTATCCCAAGGAAGTTCTGACACAACTCAAGCCAGCGTTCTAGACTGCCATCACGAGTGGGAAATTCATGGCCCGAAATACAGAGGCATAGCAGATGATTAGTTTCATATTACAGTACTGAAAAGCAAGACAAAGTAAGAAAGGATCGAGCAAAGCTTAAATGAAACGAAGTATCAACTAACCTCCACGCCTCCAGGAAAGCAAAATGAGAGAAGATCCTTGTATTTAAGTGGAAGCTGCTTATCAGGAGGGTATACAAGTAAAACCTGGAAATAAATAACATATTTAGCGAAATCAAAAGGGAGAAAATATTCACAAACTGATGAACCCTCCAGAAAATAAATAACAGAATTAGTGAAAGGAAATGGAGAACATATTCAGATACCATTGAACCCACCTGAGGTTCAAGGCTAGGTTCTACACGGGAATGATTCTGAGATGACAATGCACTTCGGAACCTCCCAGAGCCTTCAGATTTTCGTGAGATGTACTGCCTTTCAAGTGCTCGAATATCACAGTTTGGATGAAGTCCAACCACCACCATGCTCTCGAAAAGCTTTGATGGATCTTTCAACGGCTTATGATCCTGCACATGATAACAAAAATGTTATAAAACACATCAATCTCAATATCTTCCTCGTTTTCTCCATCATTCATGATTTTCCACACAACAAAAAAGTGATTGCTTCTTTACGTGAAGAGATTGGTAGTCTAACTTCATAAAAAAACACATACCAAACTTTGCCCCTGAAACTTTGCCCACTGCCGCTTCTGACTGGTTAAAACCTCTGGATTGTACGCTATATTATTTTTTTCAGGAGTTTCATAGAACCCTTTAAGTGCTTTTGAGACCTGCCTCTGAAATCTCTGCAGAGGGCTATCACCACCATCCTCTTTGGATGAAAAGACCACAGAAGGCCTTGGTGAGTTAATTGCAGCATCAACAGCCTTTGCAACATCGTCTGTGGTCTTTGTGAAAAATGAACCACACCAGCCTGAGTTACCGATGTCTTCCTCATTCTTGGACATATTTTTACTGCAAAACCAAGCAGTCAGAGCGGCAAGCATAGTTTAAGATAAACCAATGATGGAGAAAAGGCCAATTCAGCATAGGTATCTTATGCACACAGCAATCCTAATATAGGATCATCAAACAAAGGAACAAGTTCAACAAAAGCTAAGAACACAAAAGAGAAGCCAACAACAAAAGCAGTGCAGAATTTTTTTTTCTTCTTCTGAATAAACTTGCAGCATATTCTACAAGGTAAGATTTGCCTACAAATACACCCTTGTGGTCAGATCCTTCTACAGACCCCCGCTCAACGGGATGCTTTGTGCACTGTGCTGCCCTAATAAACTTGCAATCAAATGGTTAAACAGATGTAACCTTAATTCCCTTGAACATACATCAGATTAGCAATTCAACTGTTGCAGTTATAAATTATTTTCTCCTGAATAAGCAGAGCATATAGAGAAGGAGAAAAGATTTTCAATTATGAAAAGCCTCTGATTGCAAACGCACCTTTTGTTAGAACTTTGAAGGACTAAAACTTATCCCACCTGCTAAACTCGATCAGTACCTTAAACTTAAACCATACAACAGCCCTTATACTAGTCTGAAGGATGAAATTACAAACGAAAGCAATCATACCCATGAAGGGTCCTGTAAAGTTCCACGCTTCTCAATCACAAATATCAATAATAACAAGACCTCTATGATAAGCTTCAGAAACTTGTAAATGTTCAAACCAATCGATACCCAGATGAGAAAAAGCACGGAAGATCTCACCTCTGCAAAAGAGAAGATCATCTAGTGAGAGAGACAGAGAGACGATATGCTTAAGCAGCCATTAGAATTTAGAAGCCCGAACCTCTGCTTCAACGTCAATGGAGAACGAGAGCAAACAAAAAAAAAATCAATTCTTTATTGACAAGAGAAAAGACCCAGAAAATTTTCCTCCATGAAGAGGCAAGTTTGATCCTTGGATTGGTCAGATTAAAGAGGCTGCGAAGAATGAAAGACATGAGGGGGAAAAAAAAGCGACGGTCAGTTTCCTTGTTCGTCGATGTCTCTCTCAGGTCATTCTCGTTTTGCGTCAATGTCTTAACGTGGAAACGCAGTTGATTACCGGATTCGCCCTTTTGTACCAATGCTACGTTACATTTTATTACAAACTATTTTGAAAAAACCCCGAAAATTAAATTTTAAAATCCATAAAGTTAAAAAAATCCTTAATTCAAATACTTCAAATACAAAAATCTTTAATTTTAAAAAATGTCACTGTAAATACTAAATCACAACAAAATATAAATTTGTTTAAATTATCATATCATAATATGTCATAACACACATAAATAATTATATTTTACAATTGATATATCACATTATGATTACATAATTAAAATCCTAGATGATAAACTAACAAATAGATTTTAAATATATTAATATTTTTAATTTATAAGATAATTATCTATAAAAATTCAAGTATTTATGAATTCAAATGAATCTTAATATTTATAAAAATATCTAAAAATTAATATATCAATTATTTTAGTTCTAATTAAAAAACAATAATATTAATAAATTATTATAATATATTTTGGAATCAAATTCAAAATATATAAATAATAAAGATATAATTTAAAATAATATTCTAGTTTTTTTAGTTTAGATTGTTGAAATTTGAATAGATCTTACTTACAAGTTTTTTGGAATTTCTTTTTAAAAATTAGATTTATTTGAAAAAAAACTTAAGATTTAATAAATTTATGAATAATTAAATTTGTAAATATTTTTTTCAACATTTGATGACTTTGTTTACTCATTTATATTTATTTAATCTGTTGTAATGCTTAATGTGGATTCATAATACATCGATGACTATTTAGTAAAATATATTTGAAAACGTACAGCTATTCTACTTTTTCGTTCTTAATTAAGATACTTATTAATTTCATTTACATACATTAAATTTGTTTGTTGTATATTTCATAAAATAAGAACCTTCTTGTAATTGAAAAGAAAAAACAAGGCATGATCATATAACGATTAAGGTTTGCTAAATGAATAATCGATTATCAAATAATTAATTTTACAGATCTAACTGAATATTAAAAAATAAAATCCACGTCATCATTGTTGTTGGCCCAATCTTGTGACACTTCGACATTTTTGGTTTTTGACTTTTTAAGCTAATTTCTATCTTCTCTTGCTTGTCAACTTACCATATGTTATTTCCTAACCCCTTCCGTTACCAACTATTTTCATATCCTATCATATAATAAAATAAGTCACGCTTAAAAATTCCAAATAAATACATAAATTATAAAATTTTTAATTTAAATATCTGAATTTTTCTAAAATCTTACATAAATACCTAGATTTCTGAAAAACTTCCAAATAAATCCAAAATCCGTTAAGGACATCACCTATTTTTATTTGAAAAATACCTGAATTTATTTATTTGGAATTTTTTTTAAAATCTAGGTATTTATATAGGATTTTTAAAAATTCAGATATTTATATGAATGTTTTATAGTTCAGTTATTTATGTAGGATTTTCATAAAAGTTTAGGTATTTACATGTTATTTTTTCTTTTATAAATAGTATTTTATGAAAACTGAATCTAAAAAATCGGATTGAATAAATTTTTTGAAGGCCGAAAAGTTTCATCCGAAAAAACCATGATCGAATTCAATCAAAAGTTCCGAAATTTTTATCCTAAATATATTATGTGTGAATGGAAACCAAATTTTTATAATTATATAATTAAGATTTTTTTTTAATGAAACTATCACAATTTTTACGTAGTCTTCCGCTGTATTTATTGTTTCTCAAAATTTTCCTGTAAACTTTCATCTATAAAAATGTGTTAAATTTAATTTAAAAAAAAAATCGAGGAGTAGAAAATCTCTAAGAAAAAATAAATAAATGAAGAAATAAATGAAAGAAAAAAGCCCAAAATGTGAAAAGGCCCATAGCCGCAGTTGGCGCGAAAATTCAACAAACCCTAACAATCGTACCGACTTACCCTATTCTTCTCCCTCCTTGAAGTCTTAAACCCCTTCTCTTTCCACTCTTCCACATTAAGGAACCCAAAAACCCTAAAATTTTCTTTCGCACTGTGGAATCTCCGACTATTCCCCTCCTGTTCGATCGATTTCTCTTCGCTCCTCTCTCACGTCCCGCCATTTCACACAACCAATGACGAAGCTTCGATCTCGCGAAGTATCTCCTCCGGTCCCAGCGAAGCCGCTATCCAAACGGTCTGACGTTGAACCGGCAACTCCCGCTCGAACCCAAGAGTCCAAAGTTCACCGATCACCGATTGAACAGGTACATGGTTCAGTTTCCGGTGGGTCGGTTCCCGTTGACGGACCCACAACCACCTCCCGGAGGCGCAGTGTCCGTCTCGCCTCCAAAATCGGTGATGGAGATGAATGCGTCAATGGGCTTACCGAAAAAGAGGTTACTATCTCAACGAGTCGCAAAGGGACAGGGAAGAGAAGGTTGAAAGTGGATGATGTTCCCGTTCCGGTTGTTGAGGTTAAGGAGGGTCGAGAGTTTTTGAGTTTGCGGTCGGGAAAGAGAGTTGCTAAGAGGGTTGTGAGAAATGGTGTTTGTGATGTGGAGAATGATTGCGAGAAAATGGAAATTGACAATAGAGAGTGTGAGGAATCGGAGATTGATTTTGGGAAGTTGGGTTTTCAGTTCGAACGGAAGATTTTGGATGGAAATGTTAGAAAAATGGTGGAGGGTGAGAAGGAAGGAGAGGAGGTGACGAGTGTTAATGTATCTGCCTCTGATGGCAGCAGAGAGGTTGATTCAGTTGAAGATAGTTCATTTCTGAATGGCAAGTTCATCCTCAAATCTCGGGTGGATACAGATGCCCCAATGGTTATAAAATCAGCAAGTATGAAAAGACGAAAAAGGGAATTCCGGGATTTGGTAGAAGAAAATTGTTCTAGTGACGATAAATCAGAGAATGTTGCGGTCAATGAGCTTTGTGGTGATGACGTAGTGGTTAATGGAGATGTGAGACTTGAATCACTATTGGATGGTACAGGGGATGGTGTTGTAAGCATTTCCAAAAATGAGAAGGGAAAGGCAGTGGTGCTCTATGGGAATGGTGACAGTGTTATAGGCAAACAAGTCACGGGGCATTCAGTTGAAGTTTATTCTGTGGAGAATGGGACATTAGATTGCAGAAATGGGACAGAAGGAAGGATTTTAGTGGAAGATGTTAGCGGAGGTGGAGATGGGAAGGGAAAATGCGAGGAGGGTTTGGATAAGCCAAGTAGCTCACAGGATAGAAGGAGATATACCAGAGAAGAGAAGGGTAAAGGCATAATGGTAGAGAATGTATCTTTCCTGGACAGAAATGACATCACAGATGTTGATGCGGAAATGGAGATCAAGTACTCAACCAATGGTGATGTAATGCCCGAAGCCCTTGGAAAGGAGTTGCATGTAGTGGTTGATGTGGAGCAAACAAAGAATACAGAGAGAAATGAAAGGCGAAATGAAACAGGAAATGAGAGGAGGAATGAGTCAAGAACCAAACAGTTCCATGAAATTGCAAAAAGAAATGCTGCTCGATTTGCTTATTTCGATGCTCCAGGGGAGGAAGACGATGACTTTTCTGATAAAGAGGTTGAATATCAAGCTGAAGATTGGCCTGGTCCCTTCTCTACTGCCATGAAAATAATCAAGGACCGAGAAGACAATGCGGAACTGCCTATCGGTACTTCTCTCTCAAACAAAGCAAAATCTTTGCCATTGATATGGGTTCCTAGAAGAGATGAAAGTTTTATCCCTCAAAAGCGTGTGGCTCCATCTCTGCAAGAACTGTGTATGAAAATTCTTGCCAAGAACGCCGATGCAATCACTTCACTTGAGTATGTCCCAGATGCATTAAAGCACAAACTTTGCCAATTGCTGTGTGATTCTAGGAGAATGAACGCCCATTTCCTTGATCTTATTATTCGTGGATCTCCAGCCGGAATTTGCTTACCTGATTGCTCGTGGCTGACTGAGGAAGAATTCACTGAGTGTTTTAAGAACTGTGATACTACAAACTTGACGGTACTATCTCTTATCCTATTCCATTTTCACTTTACACTGCATCATAATATGTTCAGACATCTGATAAAAAATTCTGACAGAAATTGTGATTACTACCAAAAGGAGATCGATTTCTTAGCATGTGAAAATTAACCGACTTGCATGTATGATTGATAAATGCCCTTAGTCTACAGTCACCCAAAAACTCATTTAATTCATGGTCTATGAAACAGGTTCTTCAACTTGATCAATGTGGGCGTTGTTTGCCAGATTATGTATTGCTCCCTACCTTAGCAAAGTCACCAAATAACTTACGAGTACTATCTTCTCTGTCTTTAAATGGTGCATTTCGGCTTACTGATGTTGGGCTCCGTGCACTCGTTTCCGCTGCTCCTGCAATTAGATCGATAAATCTCAGCCAGTGCTCTCTCCTAACATCCTCAAGCATAGACATATTATCTGATTCTCTCGGATCAGGTTTAAGGGAACTATATATTAACGATTGTCAAACCATCGATCCAAAGCTTATTTTGCCAGCTTTAATCAAGCTTCAGAAGTTGGAAGTACTCTCCCTTGCTGGTTTTCCTTTGGTTAGGGATCGGTTTGTGAGAGAGTTTGTTACAGCTAAAGGGCTGAATTTGAAGCAGCTTATTTTGGCCGACTGCATGTACGTATTAATTTTCTTGGGCCTTTTTGCCGTTATTCTCTATCATCTGTGTTTTCTTTGCTCAGTTTTGGGAATTTGGTGCAGGAAATTAACTGACTCTTCGACGAAAGCCATTTCCGAAAACTGTCCCGGTTTACTTGTGCTTGACCTGGCTAACTTACACAAGCTGACAGATTCTTCTTTGGGTTATCTTGCAAATGGTTGTCAAGCCATGGAGAAATTGATTCTCTGTCGCAATGCTTTCAGGTACGTCTTAACTTTGTAACTGTGTACGTTTCGTGTTATTTTTCATTAACTGACATAATCTTATGCACTACCTGTCTCTCTGTAATAACACAATACATGATTTCTAACGTGTCAATTTTTCCTGTGATGTGAGTTTCATTGTGTTCCTAAATTGGTGTTCTTAACATTCCGTTTCACAGTGATGATGTCGTAGCTGCATTTCTGGAAACTGCGGGGAGTTGTCTGAAGGAACTTTCGCTAAATAACGTCAAGAAGGTAAAAAATCGGTCTCTGGTTTTTCAGCTCCATTTCTTCATATGGGATTTTGTTCCATGGACAGTCATTTCATTGTTTGTGATTTTTCTTTCCACAGGTTGGGCATAAAACAGCCTTATCGCTTGGAAAACACTCGAGAAAGCTGGAGACTTTAGATCTGTCCTGGTGCAGAGACATGACGGATAATGCATTGGGCTACATCGTCGATAGCTGCTTATCAATGAAGGTTCTTAAACTTTTTGGATGCACTCAGGTACTAAAGCCATCAACTTGAAATCCAAACAAAGCAAAACCATTCACATCCCCTGATCCCGAATCCCTTTTTTTTTTTTTTGCAGATTACGAAAGTGTTTCTGGATGGATACTCGAACCCTAATGTGAATATCATAGGTCTGAAGATGTCTCCAGTCTTAGATCATAGAAAGGTACCTCATCATCTGGAGATATGATTGAGACAAAAGACAGTGATGAACTGCAGTAGACTTGGTTTTTGTTGTCTGATTGTTACGTGTGAAGCTAAGAGTTACGGGTAAATATGTACAGAACAAAACGTTGAACTGATCAGTCAGTTCAAACATGTCTTTTGTAATGTGCTGAAATGTGGCTCTTCTAATGTCATCTAAGTTTATAGATTTGTCCTTTTCTTTTTAGACCTGAAAGAGTTGTTTGTTTACTTAGGGGAACTAATGATGTCCACAAACAACTCTTTAGAATTTTTGTTTTCAAAAGGATTGCTCTTACTATTCAGGAGGGTTAGTCCCGTAAATCCGATTTTTCGAGTATTTGACCTGATCCGTGAGCTCGTAACTTCAAATTCTCATCATTTTGCCTCGTCTTTCCTCGGTCCACCCCTTTGTCTCAGCTTATCGTCCTCGTCGGCTACATATCTGTATCCGGAACTTGAATACCCAACTCTCATAATGCTGAGATTTGATAATCCGACCGGAAGAAACGAGTCTGCAAAACCGAGTTCGGATATCGAATATCCGATCCATACCCAAATCTAGCTACTAGAAATGGTATTCTGCTCCACCAACATTTTACTTGAGACACAAATATTTGTTACGCCAGCCGTCAGGTTAGGATATGAACTCTTGATGGCCTGACTGACGATTACATTTTGTTTGGAAAATTCTCATAGTTACACTAAAATGAACGATAAAACATGTTAGATGCGGGAGTACATACACCAGAGGAAAACAGAGCAAAGAAACTAGGTAACATTAACTTGTTGGAAAAAAAATGCAAGGTAGTTTCCAGTGGGAATCTGTCATATGATATGAACCTGTCCTTTTTTAGCCAAATCTTTCGGTTTGCTTTCCACCCGAGCCAATCTGCAGCGATTTTCCTTTTGAGGATCGCCATATATCATCATCGTTTTTGCTCGTATGGTCTTGGAGATTACCTAAAATCATCCATAAGAGACCTTTCAAGGATACAAATGCAACCATGAGAAGCACTAAGAACTCGGGAATAAGAAAACGGCCAAACCCATTCAGGAACGTGAAATTTATTCACGTGCGAAACACGTGTAGATCCAGATGAAACATAGAAGCAACATGTTGAAAGGAGAAGCAACGGAAAGATTACACATTTACCAGTTCCTTCTTCACCAAGATCGGATTAAGATGTCTTAACGATAATCCGAATGAGTCAAAATGGCTTCAACTCTATCCAATGATGCTTGAAGTCTCCCCGAGTTCATGTTGAATAACAACTGTTCATCAGTACCGAGTCCCCTGTTGCATTTGACACCATCATCATAAGCCACACAAGGCAGGAAAACCATTACATCGAACATTACGAATTTGCGGGCATTAGGTCAAAATTTTGAAGCATGGGAAAATGTTCGGGGACTTGCCCGGTAATCTCGGGGAGTACATAATCAGCTCTCCATCCGAACCGAAAATCAACACCCGGGCAAAGACCAAAAGTCGTCTTGTTAAAGATCCGAGAAACACCGTCTCCACCCAGACATGTGGTGAGTTTCCATTTCAAACCAGTTGCATTCATCTGAAAGTTATGCCCAACACCAACCTGAAGAGGAGAGACAGAAGAGCACAGCCATTACCAAAGACGCTGAACCTCAACAACTTATACGAAACCTATAAAGAAAAAAATCATCTCGTGGAACACAGTTGAACGATGTAAGGACAGTGGATCGAAACCAAAACCTGGAGATTCAGAAACTTTGTGAGAGGAATCTTCTTTGATATTATGCGGACATCTTGGTGAAGCGGCTCGTACATGAACTTCCACCTCCTTTCCGGGGATAGAGGTTTCAGAACGAGCTTCGCGTGGTAATCATTTACGGGTGCGTTATAGAACTGAGAACCAAAACACGTTAGTGATTGACTGGTCACAATTACAACAACGAAGTGCTTTAACATAATACTCAGGGATTCTGAAAACTAGTCCACAGCTTTTGAAACAGGAAGGAAGGCATGCCACCATTGATCTGAGAGCATGAACTGACAATTATCTGTTTCTGGAGTCATATGCTCATACATGGATAGACACAGACACATCCAAAATCACAATGCACCTTTAAAAGGAACCATTTGGAAAAAGTTCCAACCTTAGGATCAGAAACCATCAAGGGCACAGAAAATTCGCCAGATAAAGACTGAATCAAACTCCATGCTCCGATTACAATAACACATTCTCCTTCTACGGCTAAAATTTCGATCAATTCACAAACTTTAGCTAGTTGGTGACTCGGAAACGGTTCAGATTACATACCCAGAAGAATCAGAAAAAGAACATGACGCGGAACACAGAGAGAGAGAGAGAGAGAGACCTCGAAATTGAAACCGAAGCGAATTCCTTCGAGCTCCTTGCGGAACTTGACGAACAACTCAGAAGGCATCAGATTGATGGTGAAAAGCTCGTCCCATAAGGGGGGCTCCTCCGGCTGCGGATTCGGCGGCTCCATTTCCGACCAAACACCACAGATGAAATGATCGGAACCCAGAATACAGAATCAAGAACAGCGAACTTGTCTGAAAAATCCGAAAGGGTTCACAGAATTTGTAGTCGAATTCGAGTAGATCACAAATCGAAAACAAACGGTAGAGAGTTCTAATTTCAATCCACCATCCGAAACTTGTTATTGCTGTGACATTTATGTCTGTTTTTCCTCCTAACGATTGAATCAGAGAGGCTGAACCGAACCGGTTTAGTCTCAATGTAAAACCAAACCGGTTTGTCTCAATGAATGACCAAACCGGTTCAGGATTCAAGAGGTGAATGAAACCGTGAAACCATGACAAAGCTTTTACTCAAGAAACTTGCACTTACAGCAACACAAAAGATTCCGTGACTTTACACAAACGCCTAAAAGCCTGAAGAACAAGGACGAGGAAACGTGCATGCGCATGTCTATGGCGGATTTACATTGATGGTGAAAACGTTTCGGAAAGTGTAATGACACGAGCTATCTTTCCACGAGTAACTAATTCTATTCACCAGCTGCAGCTTGAAGTTACTCACTACCCATTTGGTTTCTACGTGTTGCTGCAAGTTCCTTCTGCAACTCAGAGCTTGACATTCGTTCCACCTCTAATGCCCGCTCGAGCTACACAAGCAAAACACAGATCCGGTTAACCGATAAAGCGGGTTTGAGGAAAACAGGAAAGAACCAAAAGTGTTATCGAGAGAACCCTACATTCGCTGCCCGCATGCTCCACTCGCTCAAAATAGCCCTCAGCCTTTCGTTCTCTTCGATGTACTGTTTCAAGCAAAAACGGCGTAGCGAGATACGTAAAGAACGAGAACAGAATCTTGTATTAGTTGAGACAGAGGTTCATGACAAAACAAATCTTGTTACAGATGCTATAGCGTAATGTCTGCAAAAGGACACCTGGTTATTGGCACTACAGAGACGCTGCCCTTCGGTGTCTCGTTCAGCTATCAAAGAACGAGCTAGACGGAGCTCGGACTGGAGCTGATTCATCTGCAAGGTAGTTTAAGCATCTTTACAATACATTGGAATGAACTATAAGACGTAATGATTGCAGTTGTAGTATCATCCCGTCATAGAGATGGAGCTTAAAAACATTTCCCGCATTTGTTCGGTCATTCTAGAGTTACCTCAGCTGAAAGCGTTCTCAGCTCCTGATCCCGAGCAGCTAAAAGATGGGCAAGATCGACCTGGAAAAGGGTACCAAGCATTATATGGTTTATCTTACCAACCCGCTTTTTTTAAAGAGAAATCAAGCCAATTGATACTATAAAAGGAAAGCCTCAAGAAGCAGTGAGCGAAGCTGAAGCAAACTCTCACCTGAGGAGTGCTCCCATCATTGGATTCTTCATATTTGCTCAGTTTCTCTTGCAAAGAGAGAATCTTTGCAGGCCATGGGGATCGTCACAGCACCAAATGAGATCAAATGAAAAATATAAGAGCATATCACAAGCCAGCAAAGGCGAAACAAAATAAGAAATAGATGCAAAATATATCAAGAAACATATATGCACAAAGGCTAGAAGAGCAAATGTATTATATATTCTGCACAACGTATACCTCCTCGCTCAGAAAATGAAGGTTTTCACGCTGATACTGTAACAAAGCCATTTGCTGATCTGAAAGCCGGCCTTCATAATACCTATCACACCATAAAACGAGCAGAGATTTGCCATTATCCACTGCAGCTGCAATCCAGAATCAGGTCATAATAATCTTGGGTTATTTCAGACACCCGCAAGGATTATATGACGAGGTTACCTCAATCCTTCCATAGAACTTGATGGTTGAAGTGGAGAATATAATGACTTCAAAACATCCGGCTGCGAGTTAACAGAGTTGTATTGGTGGACATAACCTGAGAGAACAGTTTCCATGAATACCAAAATGAAGAATAACACACAAACCTTACGGGCAACAAAGGCCATGCAAAGCATAAATAGCATTTTGCAAACTATCTGCAGTGATTTATCTTCTAATAACTCACCAACATATATACTCATGAAGAAACCAGCACATATTGCTTCAATCAACATAATGATCCTGCAAATTCGTCATACCATAGGGAATCACAAAGAACATTAGTCTTCCAAATTAACAAAAAATTCTCATTTTTCATATTTTCTTGCAGCATATAATGAATGATCAAAATTGCAGCACAAAAAGGTATCTTCTTGAATAAGAGTTCTCCAAAGAATTTTCCTCTAGAAGAAATGAAATCCTCAGCCTTGAACAAGTAGGTTACATAGATTTTCAGCTTGAAGTAAAATAAGAAATGTAACTGGATTCTGAATCTAATCATTTAGCAAAATTTCACTAAAACACAGCAATGTTGAGATTGAGAAGCCTACCTTTGCAAAGTAGTAAGAGAAAGAAAGCGGATTTCGGCCTCCCATACTATCACAAGAAGCATTGCAGCAGTTCCTAGCATTGCATCAAAGGTAGAAAAATTAACCAAGGCTGTGTCTTCTGGTGTCAAGAGGTATGGAAACCAGTCAGCAAAAAAGCAAATTAAGGAAATCAAAGTACTTGCAATGACTTTCTTAGTGAACAGATATTATATAAGAATAATCTGTAAAAAGAGTTAACATGTTAGAAGTTTTGGTGACAATTCTCTCATCCCATAAAATATTTGTATTTTTTGCGTTCTGTTGTATCTAAATTAACAACGCTTTGGTCTCAAAGGAAGAAAGAAACCACCAATCAATTCTGCATCTTCTTGTTTCATGAATTTCGCAGTTCCATGAACATCTTTAAATAATACAATCAAGGGAAAGGGCAAAATATAGAATCAATTTCACATAGTTGGGGAAACACCATATGCAGTGATCGCAAAGGGCAGACGAACAACATGTTTCAACTTCTGGCTGAAGCTGTAATAACCCTGCAGAACATGGTATATATATTCTTCAGACAAAATGAAATGTAATCATGCAAGCTACAATACAGAGCCAGAAACATCGGTAGAGAATCATAACTACTTTCATATTATCTCAATTCTTAAACCTGTGATAAAAATAGCAAATTACGCACATCACTTAGCGACTATAGACGTTGTACCTGTAGACGTATTTTCTGGACTTGAGAAACAAAGTATTGTTGGAAGACACCTGAAACAGAACATCAACAGACTATATTAAAAAAACCAAAACTGTGGTATGGGAAACATTATACACGCAGACACATGAAGATCAAAGAGAGATAGAGAAGATATACTAAGATGGATCAATATAATATATACCTACACATACTTATGTTGACTCGTATGTATCACATTTCAGGTTCAGAGCATCTATCATTTGTAAAATTTCACTCTAGTTTGTGGAGATCAATGTTCAAGAGCCCGATCGCTCATTGTTAAGACATTCTAAGTACACTCCTCCATGGATGGACAACAAAACTACATTACAAGTGTATAGAACTAGACACCACCAATGAAACTCAACGAGCTCGGTGACAGAAAGAAACTTGAAGAACTGGATACCTGTGACAATCAAAAGTGCAACATCACAGCAGCAGAGCAACGAAGGGATCAATTTCTGCAAAGGACGGAATATCCAAGGAGCTCCTGCAGCTAAAATAGCATAACCTGCCTAATATATACCAAAAAAATATCAGAGCTACCCAAAAAATGCAGTATATGTAATGTACTTGATCTCAAAAGATGAACACTTGCCAATAGAACCATATAAAAGTAGCTTCCAACGAGACTTCTAGATTTTCGGTGACCAAACAATGGAGCTTCGTGCAATATGTCAAGGAACCTACAAGAACACAAACATCAGCAAATCAGTACCCAGAGACTTATCCACTGCAGGTTGAAGGAACACAAACCTACCCATACTAAATCACATCAAAATCATCTTCCAGAAATTCGATCACCCATTTGCTAAAGAATGCCAATTTACACCATTTGGAGAATTTCGAATCAGAAGCCATGGAATAAAACTAAGAAAAGTAACCAAATTCAATAAGCTTTAGCTTAGTGGAGCAAGAAAAAGAAACAGAGAGCCAAGATCCAAACAAAAAGGCAATATCTTAGCGGGGAATTTGGCAACACTTGATCGAGAACCACGAGCAATTTGCAGGAGCTTAACTTAAAACCTAATTTTGCCAAAACCCACATCGAAATCCAGCCAAAAATAAATAAATCTAAGAACTCGAACGGGAAAAGAGCTGAATCGGAAGACGGAAGAGGAAAAGAAGAGAAATGGATCAGAAGGCATCGGCATACAGAGCGTTCTCTTCCTCGGTCATGGGATTGGACGAAGCTCGTCTCTCTGTCGACATTTTCCAATCTCTCAATTCTCAATTTTCTGGGTTTCCTCTTTGATTTCCTCTCCTCGAGTATACACACGAAGAACGATGAATCTGCTTGATCTAAGATGACATCAAATCTGGGAATTTGTTCCGAAACGAATCAAAATATTTGTTTTTGTTGGTTATGTAACTAAAAAATTATTTTCAAAATAACTAAAAAACTGACATATTTAAAAAATTCAAAATGAAAATACATATAAAATTATAATTTGTATACAATTTGCATTCCCACAAAGTAACTCAATCCAAAACAAATCGAATCAAAATCCAAAAAAAATAACAAATCATCCTTTAAATTTTAAATAAAAATCCGACACTAAACTAAGAAGTAAGAATCTCAAAGAAAAACATTGTAAAACAAATCCGACTGTCTTCCCAATGAATCAAATAACACTCGTATAAGCCCTAGGTAGTTGGGTGGCCATTTCGGTTATTAACCGAATAATCGAGCCGAACCGAACCGAATAAGACATAACCGTATCTGAACCGAATCCGACATAAAAACCGAACGGTTATGATTTACTTAAACCCGAAAAACCGAAACCGAAAACGAACCGAACCGAATAAAAAATAACCGAAAAAACCGAGAGAATAACCGACATTTTCTTTGGAAAATTGAACTTTTTACCAAAACCGAACCGAACCCGAACCGAAAAATAACCGAACCGAACCGAACCGGAATTTATATAAAAACCGAATGGTTTTATTTTTTCTATAACCGAAATAACCGAACCCGAATATAACCGAACCGAACCCGAACCGAAACCCGAATTGGCCACCCCTACTAGGTAGTGTATCCTAATTAAATTTAGAAAATATGATTTTTAATTAAAACCAAAAATCTTATATTATCCATCTATCAATAATGAGCTCTGCTGTTTTAGTGATTTTCATTTTTTTTTATATTTTAATGATGATACATATATTGTCAATACATGTAATCTTACAGTGATAATTGAATATTAAGATTATTTTCAATTTCTGAAATCGGGAGTTTTTGTAATCCACTGGGATAAATATAATTTATTAATGTTAAGCAGAATTTCTTTTGGTTTAACGCTATAGCCCAAGCCCAAGATCAAGTCCAAGCCCAAGATCAAGTCCAAGCCCAAACACATTTTTCATGGTCAAAGTCGCTAGCTGATTCAGAAGGTTTCATACTCTGAATAGCCCTAGTTCCATGGAATCCGAAACCAGAAGAGGTCGACCGAGCACAAGCCGAAACAATCCCTACTCCGTATCCGATCGCTCGGCTAAAGCTTCGATTTTGATCCATCGGGTAACGTCATGATCCGAACCTCCTTCGCCACCGCCATCTCCCTTCTCCATACACATTCTTGTGGCGGCTCTCAAGCTCGGCCCTTGCAGAACAATACCAGAGAGGTGATGTATTGCCCTGAATCCTGGCTCGTCAAGGTCGTGTGTACTCTTTTTTTGTACAGAGTTCCTGATTCCGATGGCTGTTTCTGTTTCCTGAGCAACAACTTGAATCCCTTCATCGCCTTCGAGGTTGTGAAGAAGCTGGAGAATCCTGAATTGGGTTTTCGATTTTGGGAGTTTAGTAGGTTTAAGCTGAATATCTGCCATTCTTTCTGGACTTACAATATGCTCACTCAATCGCTTTGCAACGCGGGTCTTCACGGTATGGCGAGGAAGATGCTCGAGTGTATGAGGAATGATGGGATTTCACCGAATAGTCGATTGCTATCGTTTCTGATCTCGTCATTTGCCGAAAAGGGCGATCTCGATTTCGCCACGGCATTGCTTGTTCAGGCTTTTCAGGTTGAAGGGACTTCCTATGTAGTGAACAATTTGTTGAATACGTTAGTGAGGTTGGATCGGGTGGAGGTCGCGATTAAGTTATTCGATGAACATCTGAGATCTCGGTCATGTGTTGATACTTGGACGTTTAACATCCTGATGCGAGGTTTATGTCGAACAGGAAAAGTGGACAAAGCATTGGAACTTTTGGATGAGATGAGGAGTTCTGGTCGTGTTCCTGATAATGTTACTTACAATACTCTCATCGAGGGATTGTGTAGTAATGGAGACATAAACAGAGCAAAAGATATGTTTGACGAAGTTAAGTCGAGAAGTGATTGCTCTCCAGATGTTATTACATATAACTCGATGATGTCAGGATACTGCAAAGTTGGAAAGCTGCGAGAAGCGGTTTTTCTGTTAAGTGAAATGATTGATTTGGGAATAAACCCAACTAGGATATCCTTTAATGTTCTTATTGATGGTTTTGTGAAAGCTGGTGAGATGCCTTCTGCAGAATCCATTCGTGGAAAAATGATTGATTTTGGCTGTTACCCGGATGTTGTGACCTTCACTTCCTTGATCGATGGATATTGCCGAGCAGGACAAGTGAACAAGGGTTTGCAACTTTGGGATGAAATGAGTGCCAAAGGATTGTTCCCTAATGTCTATACCTATTCTATCCTCATCAATGCACTTTGTAAAGAGAATCGGTTACAGGAAGCCCATGAGCTTCTGAAGGAGCTGGCTTCTAAGAAAATTACTCCGAAACCGTTTATCTTCAACCCTGTCATCGATGGCTTTTGTAAAGCTGGTAATGTTCATGAGGCAAATGTCATTGTGGCGGAGATGGAGAAAAGGAGATGCAACCCAGATAAAGTTACATTTACGATTCTCATTATCGGGCATTGCATGAAGGGGAAAATGTTTGAAGCAATCAGCATTTTCCACAAAATGTTGTCAATAGGTTGCTCACCCGATAAGATTACGGTGAATTCTTTGATGTCTTGCCTTCTTAAGGCTGGGATGGCTAAGGAGGCCTATCGGCTTAAACAAGTAGCAATGAAAGGCCTGAGGGATGGTGTCTCTCATGTGGGCGAGATTGTCTCTTCGAGGAAAATACCTGTGGCCGCTTGAACGAGAACTTGTTCACTATAACCTGAACCACTGCCTCTGGATTGATGGTCTTGCTCTGCCATTTTTGCCTTCGCCACTCACATCAGGCATGCAAATATCGAAATACAGTCATACAGTAAGCATCTGATTATATTCCTTTTGATGCTCTCATAAAATCTCAAGATCCTTATCCATTTATGCATTTAACGAATTCTTGCGTTTTCATTAAATCAAAGCCGAAAATTCTATTTTCCTTGCATGTGCATAACTCTAGAAACTGATTATTATACATAGTGATAATTCTGACTAGTGACAATTTGCCATTTTGCATGACCTCACTTAATCATATGTCTCTGTTTGCTCAGAATGTAACTAATTATTTACTCGATGTTCCATTCTTTTACCACATTCCTGTTCTTCAAATTCTTAAACTGTTGAGGAGAGATGACCAAAGTAACCTCATTTGCCACATGAGGAGTAATAATTTGTGAACTTTTTCATAATCTTTCTTTGTTGCCTTTTATTCCTTGTACTTGTATTGCTTCATCTAGATTCTAGATATTGGTCTTTGTAGAGCATCCAAAACACAATAATAAGATTCATGTTATGTTGATTCCCTTCCTCTTTCAGATTTTTCAGGTGGCGTAATTAGCAGCCACACGAGGTCTGACCTCAGTGAATATTGTTAAAACATCAAAGGACTTCACTTCACGATCAATACCCATCGCAGAAAAACCGTGCAGAAATGAATGTCCTCATGAGATCTCAATACAGAAACTGACAGAAGCAGGTATCATCGATGTGAACTTTAGCCTGGAAAGACGATAACCAGTGTTATGAGTAGTTGGTGGGAACAGGTTTGCTGCAGGTAGCTAGTTTTCAACCCGTGATTTCGTTTTCTTAATCCGAGTGTTGTAGAGATTAGACGAGACGAAGCAAGAAAATGAACCCGGGAAAGAGGGTTTTCTGGAGATTCTCACACAAATCTTTTGGCCTTTGTATCAGCCCGATTCCTTCATTTTTGCCTCTCTAGAAAGCAATCTTTTTTTTTTGCTCAGATACCTCTTTTAGGTTTTTGTTTTCTTTCCTTGTCGCTAAGAACAATCGGATGGGTTAGGATCAGCATCCAGAGACTGCATGTCCCTATCTCCCTTGCACTGTGCTTTGTAACATTATGTAGTTTTTCAAGTAAGGCTCTTCTTCATTGAAACAACAAGTCTTTCATTATTATCAGATAGCTTATTAGCAAACTCTTAAGTTCCTGAGAATACCCTGGAACCACGCGCTCTATTCTCTGTAGAAAGGAAAGGAAAAACAAAAGGAGGATCACAATCCGACCTAACTTGAAACGCAAGAAAGCCTCAAACTCAGTTGTCGGATTTGGGGATCTTGAGATTTTCAAAGACTGGGCTATCAACCCCAACGCCCATCGAGTTCAAGCCATTGTCAACATAGATGGTTGCTCCTGTTATGGCAGATGCCAGTGGTGATGCTAAGAAAGCTGCCGCGTTTCCCACTTCATCTGCATCCTCAATGAAAAGAATATGTTTAGCTCGGGAAATTCCAAGAGAAGAAGAAGCATAAAAGGCGAAGAATAACGACGAAAGGAAAGTAACCCGAGGTTAGGGTTTTCTGGATAGGAGCATTGGAGTAGGAGTACTCAATCATGGTGTCTATGAACCCAATGGCTTTGGCTGCTCGGCTTCCCAATGGACCTGAAACCCAATTCTCTCTTGTCATCAGCAGCAAAGGTCGAGTCTTTGTAGAATACGGTTCATATTGTTAACAGGGACAGATAAAAGCACCAGCAGAGATGGTGTTGACCCGAATGTTGTGTTTCCTTCCAGCTTCAAAAGCGAGCACCTTTGTTGAAATAGACATTGTGGTATCATTAGAAACTTCGTAGAAGCTTCATAGGCATATGATTGAAAACGGCGGAAAAAGAAACTCACTCGTGTATCACTCTCTAAGGCAGCCTTGGCAGAACTCATACCTCCACCATACCTGCATGTACATGAACCCATGAATGCATGCTCATTGCTGTGTGCAAATGTCATATATAAACATTACCCAGGAATGATCCTTTCAGAGGCAATGTAGGTAAGAGATATAGAAGCACCTCCTGGATCACCACCCGAAAAAAAACCCACATTCAACAAGTCAAAACAAAGTAGTAAGCCCTCGATCCTAAACCCTAAACCCACATTACAAAGGAAAAAGAGAAATGGGGAAAGTGAGCTTGCTAAGGAAGGGAATGTTATAGTGCCTGGGTTCATAATCGGCAGAAAATGCTTGAGCAGGGAGACAAAGGAGTAACTCGAAGCAGACAAAGCAGCGAGATACCCTTTCCTCGATGTCTCTAGAAGAGGTTTGCTAACCTGAAGAATTAAGTTTACCCGTTACGAGACATGTCTGGCAATTACATGCTTCTAGCCAAAAACAAAAAATCATAAAAAACGCGAGAATTCTCTAACCTCTGGCCCATTTGCGAGGGAGTGCACGAGAATGTCGATGCTTCCAAAATCTTGTTTCACACATTCAGCAACTTCCTGGAACATATGAAAAGGAATGTGCAGTCTCTAACTGGTAAAATGGTCAGTGACCAAAGGAAATTCCCTAGCTCCACAATTTTAAGATTGTGTGTCAATTAGAGCATTCCTGTCCTAAGGATATGATAGTAGGTTTTCACTCATTCTCACACCTGTAAATGGTCGTTGTAATAAGTTCAGAATGTAAGGTTTTCGTTATCTATGCACGTGTATACCTGCACTGTCCAATTTGCTGACCCTGCGTAACGCTTATTCGTTTTGATCTGTACAAATTAAGAGTCAAAATGGGAAAGTGAGAAGTTATCAACATATGAACTAATCTCAATGATTGCAAAGCCATATAATTCCTGCTTACATCTTCAGGCACGTCATCGGGATTATCAAACACAGCATCTAAAGGATAAACCTTCTTGACCTCCATCAATGACCCATCTGGCAACCTGGAGAAGGATCATGATCAAGGATTTCGGACAGAAAAGATCATGAACAAAGATCCCTTGTACAAAATTTCCATGGTTCAGCAAAAGAAAACAACTTAAACAAACTGCGAGGCCTTACACGCGTGATTGATCAAATTTTCCACGCCTCAGGCTTGTCTCAAAAATGTTAAGGGCCTAATGGGCAGCTCAAATGTTAGAAGTATAACAATCGAGAAAAAAATATAAGCAGACAATAAAAAAAGGATCAAGAGAAAGAAACTTGAGGAATATAGTTTACTTACAGGAACCCATGTTCCAACTAATATCTCAGCTCCAGCAGCAGCAAGAGACTTTGCTATTGCCCAACCGTATCCATTATCATCAGCTATACCGGCAATGAAAGCCCTTTTGCCTGCACGATTTCCCTTTTCAGTTTAACCCATTAACATGTTTCTGGCCATAAAATCATGTGTTTTTGGCGCGAATGATATGAAATGGCTGTCAACAATAATGTGAGCAATGTCTGCACAAGTGAAGCTGCAGATAGCATTTAGCGCTTGGTTTTGAAAGGGTTAAGATTCGTCCTCCACTTGTTTTGGAAAGTTTCCTTCAAGTACGCGAGCAAACATTTTCCAACTGCTTATAAATAGCTTCTTGGGAACCAATCACCACCTAAAATCAAGAAAATCAAATGACAAACAAATATCAGAGGTATCAACCTCTCAGATCAATTGGCAACCCAGAGGATGCCTTAGTTTCGCTGGATTCAGACACCGCCTTTGTGACAAAGGTCACGGGTTTCCCCAGTGTTGACGCAAGACTCTGTTTTCTCAAAGGTGCAATGTTCGATAAATGGTAAGCACTGGTAAGTCTATCCCATGACATAGCTTTAGCATTGACGCCATAACTGTTAGGTCCGGACTTAAAAGCTTTAGGGGATGAAGAAAGGCACGGCCTTGTTGCAGCAATCTGCATGCTTGAAGCTGCTTTTGTCGCCATTCTCAGAAATTTTCTGATACATTTCCAAGAAGTGAAAATGTTGGTGTGTCTTAAAGGGGAATATCCAGAAACACAAATAAGCTTTTGGTTTTGCTTGCACAACAACCCTGATAGAACATTCATACCACTATGCGACGAAATGAAACAAAGATCATTACAAACTAATGGAAATTTGACGAACATTCCATGATTAATTCAGCGGATCCACCAAATATGCAATCCATGTTACATTTTCTCATCGCCAGAATTGAATCAACAGATTTCAATAATCATGTAATCCCAAAGCTAACACATTTGGGACGGGAAACCCATCTGAGCAAACAATTCGACAACGCATTTCAACAGAAACGAAACCGGACACAACCGAGAACCACGTAAGTTTGAGTAAATCTCCATGACCCATCTGCATTTTCATATCAAACATTGATTACACTGAGAAAATCAACAAACCCATCTACATTTTCTCGTCAAACATCTACATTTTATCGTCAAAACATTAGTTACACTGACAAAAAAAACCCATCTACGTTTTCTCATCGAACATCGATTACACAGAGAAAATCACCGAGCCCAGAAAGCATTTACGACTGTACACTCAGTCATCAAACAAACACAGTTACACAGAGAGAGAGAGAGAGAGATGTACCTGTGTGAGCCGGAGAGAGTCAAGTTGGAGAGACACAGAAAAACAAGAGAAATTGATAGATTGTGAAGTGATTTGTGAGGAGAGATTCGATGAGATCGAGGTGCAAACACTCGGAGACCAAATTGGTTTGGTTATGGTTTGGTTTGGCAGTTGATGAAGTTGCTCGACAACTCTGTGAATAAACTCGGGTCGGGTCGGGTCGGGTTCTCTTGAGAAAACTGGAACGGCCCGTTAAGTGATGGGCCATTAAAAACGTGAACCTAAAGTCCCAAAAAAAGGAACCTAATTGTTATACCTTAGAAAGACAATTACCTTATTATATATATTGTACTTGTAAGTATGATAGTATATGATCTATTTTTAAAACGGAGTTTGGTTCTCTCATGTTTTGGTGGAAAATATTTGGATTAACTAATTATTCTTTATTAATTAAAAAAAACTTTTAAAAGACAAATGGATTAAAGAGAAAAATTGACTAATTAATGGGGCTTTTATTAAAAAGAATTTGAAGTAAATAGGCCACAAAAAGAGATTAATCAGGTCTTATGGATTTGAATTAACAAAAAAAGGAAAATTGTCATAAATATAAATATATATATGGAGGGTCCAAATTTTTTAATGTATTCCACGTCATAATTGAGTTAAAATAATTTGATATATTTTTTGTTATATGAAATTAATGAAATTGATTTTCTAATTTGGAGTATTATTAAAATAAAAAACGTGATTTTATGGAAAATCGGTAAAAACTAAATTTAAAGGAGTGATATATAAACAATAATTTTAAAATTAAAAAGAAAATCTAAAGTATCCAAATTTCTATATAAAATTATAAACATTTGAAATTTTAACAATTTTTGTACTCATCAATAATACCGTTACCGTCGGTTGGTAATAGCCGGATTCCGTCAGGACATTCACTGAGCAAATAAATAAGTTGACTCTTTTTTTCCGCCAAGTCAATATAATATCATCTACCACGTCAGCTAATTTATAAAAAAAATATAAAAATTACTACACAATAGACATATACAAAAATTATATATATGTATGTGTGCATATGTGTGTGTAAATTTTTATAATCTTTTATAAATTTGTTGATATGGCAAATGAGACAACATTAAAGTTACAAAATAATCAATTTTCCGGTGATTGATTACATCTATGAAAAGACGCATTAGGTTGAAAAATTATCAAATTTTCATACGTTTGTAATTTATATGAAAATTTGTATTACTTTGAAATTTATGAATTTCAAAGTCTATATGTTAATTTTTTTTGTAAAATTGGACAATTTTAATAGGAGTTTCCTGGTATCTAATTGCATTCAAATTCAATATATATTCAGATTATAATGGAACACTATAACTATTTAAATTTAAAAATAAATAAATCTAAATTAAAAAACAATCGAAAATATTTTATTAGTGAGAGAGAACCGAGGAGTCTAAGTGAAACAACCTGCACAACAGAATGAATATATTTGTCATGTCCTTTTATATATCAAATTTATTAGTTTCGGGTTTAATTTTACCAGTTCACGTATAATTTCCGATTTGTTGGACTTTTTGCCGAAGGAACATGTAATTCTCTTTTTAAAAATAATATTATATTTTTCGGTAAAAAAAACTTAAATTGATTGGGATATATTCGTAGATTATTATTGAGAATATTTGTTAGAAATCTTGGAGGAAAACAACGGAAAAAAGGAGAATGAAATCGAATCGAGAGACCAGATATCTCTTCAAGGTGTGTAGAAACTTTACTAAAACCGTTATTCCATCTGTTACGAGTAAGGACTACCAGAATATGATTCTGAGATATAATGAAGAGAAATACGTTCTAGAATTGTTCGTTCAAAAACGCACAGACAAGAAAACATGAAGAATGAGATGAACGAAAGCTTTCGGAAGAGTTTTTGGAAGAAACTACTGAAAGTGCTCACAAAATCTCTCAAAAGCTTTCGGGAGTATTTCCGCATAACGTCGTCGGGAGAATCTCTCAATCCCGAGTCACGGGTAAATGTATATTAGTCTCTAGCGGGAATCACTCCCGAACCCGTTCCATAGCATGTGGAACGTTGGCGCGGTCATAGAGTAACTGTAAGGTTTCCTCATCCCGGAATAGTCGAATCACTCAAGGCTATCCCGTGAATCATCGGCTCCAAGCTGGAAACGGGCGATCTCACATAGAGTAATCATCAAGATATCACCTCAATCCCTGATTACAAACACACACTCGACCTTACTCCGGCCCTCTGAAGTAAAGGCTATCCCGTGAATCATCGGCTCCAAGCTCTGCCCATAGGCGAACAATCACAATCACACCTCCTCAATATGAAACTCGACCCGGATCAAGGATCATAAAGAGGAGATCTCACATAGAGCAATCATCAGGATATCACCTCAATCCCTGACTACATACAAACACACGTTCGACCTTACTTTGGCCCTCCGAAGTAATGTCTCACGCCATGCCAGCTACCCGGGTCCCCAATCATAAGCATCCATGCAAGAGTCTCATGTTAATCACACATACACACGATCTTGCTTCATATTCTGGTAATCATTCTTATTCCAATTCATTTTACGATTTTATCCCTCGACCCAAACAGATCGGGTTCCGCCCATCCCGGATTACTAATCTAGCTCATTTCGAGGGTTTCCTTATCGTGAAATGCTTCTGTTATGGTTTCATGAGGTTTGGGTAGGAAACAGGATTAGATTGATCAAACGGGGGTCTGAACCGGGTCACTTGCGTCGGATCTCACCTAATCCGGCACTACAGATGGAAACGGGTGAAAAAGGGTCTGGACCGATCGGTCTGGAGGCTGGACCGGTCGGTCTGGAGGGGTTCGTTGACCGTTGATCGAAACCTGGTCCGTTCGAACCAAGACTTCAGTTCGTTCGGGCTGAGGTATCTACACTGGACGGTCCAGATATCCAGACCGGACTCAGGTCATCTTCTTCCTCACGATGCCTGCAACCCTAGACTGGACGGATCATGCCTGGACCGATCGGTCTAGGCGAACCAGGGATTTCGGACTTCGAATTTTCTCACCAAATTCATCAAATTATAGCTCAAAATGATCCTTGAAACATTATGAACTCAAATCTAAGGTCAATTTCATACAAAGCGCACTCAAAACATACAAATCTCAATTTTCAATTTGATTATCATTTTTGAACTTAATCCGAAACACTCACCTAAGTTGATTTTGAGTTGTGGGCTTTGTTGGGGAGGGTTCCCAGAGTTGATTTCTGTATTGTTTGATTGATTTCGACTAAATTCGAAGCTCCAATCGAAGCTTGAATTTTCGAACTCGAGGGAAAACTTTGAGAGAGTGTGAGAGCGAAAATGTGAGTGTAGGAGACAAGAGTGAAGGGGAAAGTTCGAGCAAGGGCATGTGAGTTGCGTCCGGCCAAGCAGGAGATGTCACACGCCGGAGAAACGTCGGATTCGCGGTCGTGACTCAGCAGGAAAAAAGGCGGCACGTGAATCTGGTCTCGTCTCGTCGGACCGAACGGTCTGGGTGCGCTGACCGGTCAGTCTTCGCGTAGACCGATCGGTTTGGCCAGTTTTCGTCTCTCTACTTCGCTCGGTTCGGTTCAAACCTTTGAATTGGCTCGGATTAGGTTCGTTTCAATATTCTAGAGTCGTTTTTTGGCTCATATGAGATTTCCTAAGTCTCGATGTAGGAATGAAAATTTTATGGGGTATTACAGCCCATGTTTAATCTAACACGGCCGTGTTGCAATTAACACTGCTCGTGTTACCTTTGACATAACCCGTGCTGAATCTAACACTGGCCATGTTGAAATTAACACGCCCGTGTTATGACTCGTGTTGAATTGATGTACTTAAATTTCACTATTAAATACAAGTTTATACTTCACCAAACATATGTATATGCTTTACCAAATCATACTATATCATTTACGAATATATAACTCCTCCACCATATCTATAATACATAAAAATATTAACAAGAGAAATACCGCCATATTATTTGAAATATCACAGTATGGTGAGGAGTATATCATTTTTTTGGAAGATATTTAAAGTTTGTGTAAACCTAAAAATATACAGTAAAAATGTAAATTTCTTGTAATTTCTCCGTAGAAAACCGAACGTGAAATAAGCATTTAAGCCTTCGAAAAGAGGATTTTGAAATGATAAAAAAAATTTACATTTAATTAAAAAAATTTGGAGTTCTTTTTATTTTGCACGTTTTTATAATGGCTTGGAATGTCAGGTTCATGATATGAAGAATATCATCATTGCATTAAAGTTGTCTTTGGTTGTTCATCCTCTTGCACTTTCATTTTACTAATAAATATATATAAAAATTTGCATATTTTTATACCTAAATGACCCCACCAATTAAAGTTAGAACTTTTTTACTATTGTAATCCACCCTAAAATATTTTTCTAACTCTAATGTAAAAACTTATTATTAATTTTATAACAAAAATAAGAATATCTATTTAACTACTAGATTATTAAACTTATTAACCAAAAGTTGCTAAAATTGTCTTCTTCTTTTTTTTTTTTTTATTATGGGATGTGATAAGATATTAGAAGAAGAAATGGGTATCTGTATAATATCTAATCAAATCATCAGGATCTAGAAATAAGTTGAATGAATATATTTTTCAAAAACTAAATTAACTTATATTTTAGAGAGAAAATATCGTACAAAACTAATATGAAAATCAAATGTTATTTTTTGATAAAATTTAATAATATAAACTAAAAATAATCAAAAACGAAAAATAAAGAAAATAAAGATGAAACCCCTTGATTACAAGCTTTTCAAGCCGTTGCCTTCTACTTCCACACGTATAAAACATGTTTGTTTTACTCTGAGGCCTACCACATGACTTACAATTGTTTTATCCAGTACGTTATATATATATTCGAGTTTGATAATTCTATGAAAAATAATAATTTATATATTTTGTTACCTTAAGAACCCAAATATTTAAACTGCATTCTTTGGTTTAATGTAAAATCATCCCGGTCTCATCGTCATTTCCCACCTATAAGTTTCAATATGGTAAAAAAAAATATATAATTTGCAATTCGCATCCATCCAAATAAATAAATAAATAAAATTAATATGAT